TATATATAAAGACTCAAAATTTAAGTCATTAATTAAGACAATTTATAATTATAGATCAAGTGAATATTATAATATTGTATTTTGAAATGTGTAGACTCAGTAGGCTTCCTTTAATAGAAAGAAAAGTGATTTTACATAACATCCCACATGGATGAAAAGTCGTTCCGAGGCACTAGCCACAAAAATGGGATATGTGATAACCAACAGTTATGCGCATGCGTCAATGAAACTGGTATAAGTAGTAGTAAGGTGATCCCTATACCAACTCTTTTCCCTAACAATCACCTTACAAATGTTATTTAATTTCATCAGAATGTGATGTTATCGTATCTATAAACAATTTAGTAATGAAAATTAAAAACAATATTTACCATAGTTTATAAATCTAAGTTCAAATATTAATCCTCTCTAAACTCTCTAAACTCTACACATTATTTAAGAAATATAAAACGGCGCGCGTGTCTCTGTCCTCTGATATAAACACGGTGGGAGTTCGAAACACGAGAGAAGCAAGCTTAGGAACACGAGCGTAGCAAGTGTTTCTCTTACTTCTCGAGAGGACAGAGGACAGAGACACAAGCGGCCGTTTTATATTTCTTTTATAAAATTTTTCGAGCGAAAAGAAAATTTTGCCGGTAAGCCGTGTCTCTGTCCTCTGATATAAACACGGTCGTCAGCCAATCAGAGCGCGCGTTATATATCAAAAATTTTATAAATACATATATTTAACCTCTATACAGCCTTTTGCAAAAATTATGAGAATTGTTGAAATATCTAAATATCATAATATCGAGTGCATGATGGGTAATCCCGCGCGATGACCTTAGTCCCTTGTCATTGTAGTTTAGTTTTTTTTTGGCGACAGACTTATCCGTAGTTCTGAACATTTTCTCGATGTCAACAATGAATTATTCTAGCAAACCCDYRYGTTCCGGACAATATATGGATATGGATATTATGATATTTAGATATTTAGACAATTCTCATAATTTCTGCAAAAGGCTGTATTGATCGGTGTAGTTGAATCTTATATATATCATTGTACGTCATACATGAAGTCAGTTCTTTCAGTTCCATGAATTTTTCTTTTTCTCATTTCGCTTGGAGAACTCTAGCATCATGAATGGAGACTCKTCGTCGTCGTCCACTATMTTTCTTGGCAAAGATAGAGAAACATCCAACTGTTGTAGAACATGTTGCTCAGCCTTTCTGTCTGKCATTTCTATTCCCGAGTCRCATCCTTGWGTTCGTCTGATTAGGAACTCCATCATCCTGGACGACGAATCGTCTCCTTCATCCCCACTATCTTTCTTGGCAAAGATAGGGGAAGATCCCGCTGTGTCCAACCAAGTTGCCCTGCTTTTCCRTTGCCTATTGCTTTTCCCGAGTTGCAGTCTTTATTCCGTGAAGGCMTTTTTGRCATTACGCTTTGGGAACTCCACCATCATGGAAGGACTCTCGTCGTCGTCGTCCGTTTTCTTTCATTTAAACTATAGAAGAATATGTCCATATTGTTTCACAGCTATATCTAGTCCCCTCTCGTAGCCTTTACTTCGTCTGATTGGGAACTCCATCATCATGTAAAGACCCTCCTTGTTTACTTTCTTTTCTGTCAAAAATTGAGGAGTGTTCGTCGACCGATCAAGTTGTCCTACTTTTCCATTTATCATTTCTATTCCTGAGTCGTATCCTTCACTTCGTTTGATTGGGAATTCCATCATCCTGGGCGAAGAATTGCCTCCTTCATCGACTATCTTTCTTGGCAAAGATTGAGGAAAGTCCCGCTGTGACCGACCAAGTTGTCCTGCATTTCCATCTGCCATTTCTATTCCCGAGTCTGAACTTTCACCTCCTGTTGGGAACTCGTGGTAGTCATCGTCGACTATTTTACTTGAATGGCGATCTGCTAACCTATGTTGACTCCATATTCCTACTTTCATTTTCTTTCGTTCTTCTGTCCTTTGTCCTTGAATAAGGCTTGAACGTTTCTTTAGATGACTCTTGTTTGCAGAAAATTCATTTTTAAAGGCCATCCGGGAAAAATATATAGTTACCCAATTGGAATTGTAGATCGACGGTAGCGCAAGTTCAACAATCAAGACTTKGGGATTTTAGGTGACTGACTGTTGAATACTTCGATCTTTGMTGTATTTTTGGAATTTTKTGCTTTTTTTAGTACTACTATGGAAAAAGTAGATCGATCTCCATGGCAATACACAAACAAACAAAGGTAGCGCTATGGATGACGTCAACAAAAATATAGTTTTCAGTCACAGCAACGTCATTGATTCTCGTCGAAATGTTTTTTAACAAAATGATAAAAAAATGTGAATATGGAGGCCAGATACTTTGTATTCGTACTCTTAACACGGGAAGAACTGTTCTCACTACCATGACARCCCATAAGCAATCAATGTCCTTGACGGGTTTATGTTTTCATTAAAATGACGTCAGTGTAAAAGGGTTTAAAGGGATACTCTAGTGCCTCAAATCACTTTGCGTTTAGATACAGCTAAGACCCTGTAGATTTCGATTTGAGCGTGCAAAAAGAAAA